TGTGCCTGTCTGTGTGTGTACCTGTGTGTGTGTGTGTCTGCATGTGTGTGTGTAAGCCTGTGTGTGCCTATGTGTGCCTGTGTGTGTGTGCCTGTGTGCGTGTGTGTCTGCATGTGTGTGTGTGTGTAAGCCTGTGTGTGCCTATGTGTGCCTGTGTGTGTGTACCTGTCTGTGTGTGTGCCTGTGTTTGTAAGCCTGTGTGTGCCTGTGTGTGCCTCTGTGTGTGTGCCTGTGTGTGTGTGCCTGTGTGCGTGTGTGTCTGCATGTGTGTGTAAGTCTGTGTGTGCCTATGTGTGCCTGTGTGTGCCTGTGTGTGCCTATGTGTGCGTGTGCATGTGGTCTGAGCGTCCCCATCCCTGGCTCTCCTCTGTCTTTAGGGAGGCATGTGCAGGAGGGGCAGGGGGAGCTCAGGCCTTCTGCTGGGCCCACATCCCCCATAACCCCAGATGTTGTTCTTGGCTTCAGGAGCTATACTGCAGCACCATGGACACTTTCCAGAAGTTTGTGGATGTCCTGTTCCTTGAGACGCTCCCCAACATGACTGGGCTTCCCCCGGTGGAGTGTGACTACTTGAGGCAGGAGGTGTGGGAGGACGCCGCACGGCAGCTGGGCAAGTCGGACCGTTTCCGGAGGCAGCAGTGGGAGCTCTTCCAGGAGCTCCTGCAGCAGGAACAGCAGGTGCGTGCATTTTGGGGCTCAGGGGCATTTTGGAAGCTGGTCAAGAATAATGAGGCCCTGGTTTGGTGGGCAGTACTGCACCTGCTGCAGACCTCTGCGGAGTCTGCACTGCCCCTGCCCATCTCCCACAGCAGCCTTGGGGTGGCGGGGGTGGTTGGGGGGAGGGTGAGGAAACAGGACCCTGCTCTCACACGGTGGGAAGTCAGGAGATGATGTCTTATGTTGATCCATCAAGAAAGAGTAGCAGAGCATGTTCTCAGAATGAGAGAAATAAATAGCGAAATAAACGGTGGCAGAAGGTGGTTCCCAGAGGACTGGGCTATGTGGCGGGGAGGGCCTGCACAGGGCACCTGCTTTTCAGTGAAACTGTAGTTGCTTATTAAGACCATGGATTCATACTGTGGGCAGAATGATGCTACCGCAAAAGTGTCCACATCCTGATCCCCAGACCTGGGGCATATGTCCTCTCACATGTCAAAGGGAACTTTGTAGATGGCATTAAGTTAAGGGTCATGCTACATGGGGATGATTCTGGACTATGCAAGTGAGCCCAGCTGGGGGATTTTGCCCGTGAGGGTGTAGGGGGCTTCTGGTTTATTTGAGTGAGGGAGGGGGAAACTCAGGTTATAAGGGGGCAGCAGAAGGGAGAGAGTCAAAAGAGGGGATGATATAAGCAGAGGTGAAATGGTGTAGCCACAAGCCTGGGGACACTGGCAGCGTCTAGAAGCTGCAAAAGGCAAGGAACAGATCTTGCCTAGAGCACTGTGGGGCTCCACCTTGATTTTAACCCATTAAAACCCATTTCAGACATCTGACCTCCAGAACTCTAAGGTAATAAAATTGTGTTATGGCAAGCTACCATTTGTGGCAATGTGTTACAGTATGAATTACTGCACAGGAAATTCCTGTGTTACAGGAAATTACTACAGTACATACATACACATACATATATATGTGCGAGAGTAAGAGAGAGAGACTCATTCTTTCACCCTGGGTAGAGTGCCATGGTGTCACACCTCAAACCTTGGGCTCAGACTCCTGAGTTGCTGGGACTATAGGCACCTGCCACTGTGCCCGGCTAGTTTTTCTATTTTTAGTAGAGATGGGGTCTCACTCTTGCTCAGGCTGGTCTTGAACTCCTGAGATCAGGCAATCCACCTGCCTTGCCCTCCCAGAGTGCCAGAATTACAGATATGAGTCACTGCATCCAACCTCATTGATTTTATTTTTTAAGAATTAAAACGCATGAAGAAAAAGCAGGGATTTCCAAATTCAGCAAATTCAGCAAATTCAGCGTGCACCAACATGGCTCACCTTTCCTTTCTCCCTGGTCTTCTGCCCTAGAGGCTGTTAAACTAACTCAGTCAACAGCCTGGTATCCTCTGAAATAGCAGTGGCTGAGAGACACAAAGCGGACCTAAGAGACAAGGTGTGTCACCTGCAAGGGGCTTCTCTTTCCCAATGCAAATGGCAGATGTTACTTCCTCAGCCTTCTGTGCTTCCTGCCTGAACATGCTCAGGAGCCCTTTCTCTGCCCTAGAGACTGCCCAGTCAGTGAAGCAAAGTCCTGGACAGCCTGAGTTCCTGGTGGTCTCTGCCCCAGACTGCTCTCATCCCAGGTTCTTGTTGTCAGAAACACCCCCCATTTCTTTATATTAAGTTGTCAGTTAGTTACAAAAGACCACTCTGATGCATGTAAAAGAGAATTTCTAAAGCAATCGCCGGAACTGTACAGCATGAAGTAAACAGAGGGAGTGTTGTGCAAACACAGGACCATTCACAGCTCAGTTACCTGCCTGGCTGGACTCTTAGACCTCTCTCTAGTGCATTTCATCCTCTGCCAGCTGCACCCTATTGCTCTGTCACAGGGAACTGGACTCTTCTGCATTTGGCTATGAGTTTCTGAAGGCAGCATCCCTGGTTTTCATATTTATACCTACATATTCAAAGCCCAGTGGCCGCAATGTAGTTCATGCTCAGAAAAACTTTATTGCAGTTCCAGCAAAAATAGTGCAGCTTTGGAAATTATGCAGGGCCACCTTGACCCTGTATTGTCCAAGTGATCTAGATGAAGCTGATTTCATCCAGTTGTACCAAACTGTGGGCCCCAGGGCAATCAATTTACAGTCTCTGGGGAGGCAGAAGGTTTCCCTTAGAAAACTCTGCAGGCAAGGGTCTTCTCAAGACTGCTATGGTTTTGCAGTCAGGCCCCCAACCTCAGGAACTCAAGACATGGGTTTGAGCCAGAGAAGACAGGGTAGTGATCTGTGTGACCTAAGCCAATTAACTGAGCTCCTGCAGCTCTGTTTTTTGCACAATGTGCTGAACATCCCAGAACCCCAGCTTCTTTGTGCAAACTAAGAATCAAAGTACCTGTTAGACCTAGTTGGCCTAGGCTAAAGCAAAAAAAAAATGTCAGGCCTAGGTTATAATGGAAAAATACCGGCTAACTCCTGGCAAATTTCTGGACTGCAAGCCTTCAAAAAAGTAATGAAATATGTCTAGTTCACCCCCAAGATAAATGAGAAAGTAGTAATTGACTTCTTGCTTCTAGTTCACTCCCAGTTTCTTGCTTGGCTAACTCCCTGGGAAACAAACCAGGAGGCACCAACTGTCCCCGTACTGACCTTTAAATAATACCAGGTGGAGAAAATACTGAGACTAAGATGTATGGGGGAAAGTTTGAAACTAAGATGTATGACGTATGGCTAACTAACTGCAAAATTCTGCTTCAGTACAATGCTTGCTTGCTACCTACCTGGATGCACCTGGACAGTCTACATGCCAACCAGGATGCAGACCAAGCCTTAAAAACCTGACTCCTTCAGCACTTGGGGCTGCTCCCACAAACCCCATGTTGGGACACTGAGGCAGCCGCCAGCCAGCTTTTCAATAAAGGGACTCTTCTATAAATTAGGCTTGTTTGGCAGTGTGGTCTTTGTGGAACTCCTGGGCACAACATACCCAATGAGTAAGGAGAGTCAATGCAAGTTAAAACCTTTTGCACAAGGTCCGTTGAATCATTTGATGATATTGACAGTGAAAAAATCCAGAATTTAATTTCTGGTAAAAGATCTAAAACTTCTGAAAATGAGTGTCAAGTTATTTTAGGCACATAGCAGTTATGCATATCTCTGGTTTTTATTGCTTTTATTTATTTACTTTGTGAGCATGTGATTGTGAATTTTCCTTGGCATGTGGGGGATGAGTCTTGCATTCAAAAAGCAAGCACAAGAGTTAATGACCTCATCAATTGATCCCAAGTATGGACCCAATTTGTTTTCTCAAGGTGTATGTGTCCTAATTAATTTACTGGTTGCTTAATAGTTCTAAATTACCACAAGATACTTAGAGGTCCATGTTCTCTCCCTCTCTCTCCCATATTTCATCATTGATATAAAAAATGAGAAGTGAACTTTTAATGCTTGGGATGAATATTAGGCGTGAAAAGCACCAGCAAACACACTCAGACTACAAATTGCCTTTCCCACCTTGTTTTCTATCCAAAAAGACCTTGGCAGTTTCATAACCTGTTGCTCAGGGAAGTTGTTAAAAATTAAGGAATTTGTGAATTACACATTCAGAGCAGGTTTCATTTCTCAAAATTTAATGCTGCTGCAATGCAGGGGTCGGTCTTCTCCCAGTCCACTTGTGGTCAGCAGCATAATACCCCTGAAAGAGGCCTGCACTATCATCCCTAAAACCTGTGAACGTGGCAGATTACATGGGAAAAGCCTTGGGAGAGCGATTAAGGATCTTGAGATGGGGTCGTGCTTATCTAGCCCAGCCTGATGTCACCACAAGGGTCCTTAGAAGTGAAAAAGGACTTTTGAGAGAGTCAGTGTCAGAGCAATGCCACGGGAGGGTCTCTACCACCCATGGCTGGGTTGGAAGATGAAGGAAGGGGCTGTGAACCAGAACGCAGGTGCCCTCTCAGACCTGGAAAAGGCAGGAACCTGACCCTGCTCTAGGCCTTCCCAGGAGAATGACACCTTCCTTTGAGCCCTTTAAGACTCATTTGAGACTTCTGGTCTCTGGAAGTATAAGATAATAAATTCTTGCTGCTTTCAGCCACTAAGTGTGTGACTTTGTTGCAGCAGCAACAGGAAACATACAAGTAATTGGTGTGGAGGCAGGGTGGAGAGCTAGCTGTCTAGCACAGTGTAACAACACCAGCTATAAGGCAACCCACCCAGTTTGTTTCCCGGCTCCCCCTCACTCCTCCCACACCCTTCACCCCAGTCTGGGGGGTTTCTGTCACCTCATCACCAAATCTGCTCTCTGTGCCGAGAACAGTGGTATCTGGCCAAGTGGGTCTCTCCCCTCTTCCCTGAAAAACCAGTCGCTTGAGTCTTCTGCTTCTCACCCCCACTCACCAGTGGCTCCTTCTCAGTCCTCTCTGCTGGTTCCTGGTTCCTGAATCCCAGAGAGCCCCAGGATGTAGTCTGTGGCCCTGTTCTTCATCTGCACATACTGTCCTGGTGACCCCATCTAGTCACACGAAGTCTGTTAGTTCCCTAATGCTGGGTAGCAGATAGCCCCAAACTGGCAGCTTAAAGCCATACACTCTCAGGGCTCTGGCAGGATCCAATTCCTTGAGGGTTGTTGGACTGAAGGGCAATGACTTCAAAATGTATCCCTCCCATGCAGAATCGTTCATGAACTCAGGTGTGCGTGCAGTCTGTCTAGATGACTGGGAGACTGCAAAGTTAGGGTGTCTAGCACAGCTGTTGTTCTTCTGCCATCCTGCCCCACCCACAGCCTTGTTCCAGCTTTCCACTTAACTGCAGCAAAAGCCTTGGGGCCAGACTTCATTCCTCTTTCTTTCACACACTGCTTGGTTGGCAGGAAATCCCACGGGCTCTAGCTTCCCTAATCCAGGGTATCACCACTTGCTCAGCACCCCAATCAGAGCCCCCAGCTGTCTGGGTTACTGTGATAGCCAGCTAGCTGGGTCCCTCCCTTATCAACTTCACCCAAACTATATGCCAATAATTCACGTTTAAAAATATATCAACATCCCTGAAATTGAGAGGCTTCTTAATTTAATTGGCAGTGACTTTTTTCTCTTAGTGACCGCTTCTTACAATCATGAGCGTAATAGATTCAATCAAGACACATTGTATCACTTCTCTGCTCAAAATCCCTGTTGGTTTCTCATTTCTCTTAGTATAAAAGTCAGGGTGCCACTCCGGGAGGCCCAGGTGGAGCCCAGGAGTTTGAGATTTGCCTGAACAACATAGCAAGACCCTGTCTCTACAAAAAATTAAAAACATAGCCAGGTGTGGTGATGCACACATATAGTCCCAGCTACTTGGGAAGCCAAGGCAGGAGGATCACCTGAGCCCAGGATCAGTAAGATCACCACTGTGCTCTACCCTAGGTGGGAGCCTAGCTCCAAAAAAAAAAAAGCCAGAATCATCCCCTGCTCTGTAAGGCCTGTCACGTCCAGATCCGGAAGCTCCTGACTCAACCTACTCTTTCCTGCTCTGACTCGCCCCCTCACACTCACTGCCCCCTGCGTTCCTCTGGTCCCCTGGGCAGCTGCTGCCTCACCCTGTCCTGCTCCAGGTTTTGGGTCCTCTGTCACTTTCATGACAAGGCCTGCCCGGACAGTGCTTTGCCTCAGGGTTGACCAGGGCGTGTGTGTTGGCCTAGGGTGCTGAATTAGAGCCCACCTGTTGCTAGAGGACACTCCCAAACCTTCAGCACATACCAGGTCACAGCGACTATTCATTCCCCTCCCTTTCTCTTCAGATGATATGACAGCTTGAAACCAAGAGGATAACTTATCCCAGGCACAAAATAACCTGCAAGCAATGGCCAGGGCCAGCACTTTGCCCCATGGAAGCAGTTTGATGAGCATCTGTGGGTCTGCACTTTACAATGGTGACAAGGCTTCTGTAACATGGCAGAGGTCGTCCAGTCCCATGACCCTAGTCTTCTTGATCATCTTTGAATCCAGTTGCTAGTTTTACCTGCATTCTCAAAACACACAACAAAGACCTCATATAGTGTAGACACAACATTAATCCACCTTTTAAAAAATCTCTCTGCTGCAAACAGACTACATGGAGTTTTCTAAAACACTCTGGTTTCACAGCACTTTAATAAATGATTGTAAACTCTTTATAGAGGAGTAAGAGAACATGACACAGTGTTGTTTTGTGGGATTGCATGTACACGTGATGAATCACAACACCCAAGAGAGCTGAAGTCCAGGCTGCAGGTGGCTCTGTCCGGGTGGCTGTTTCCTCTGTATTCTGAGTGCAGTGGGTGCCACCTCCAGGCTGCTGGAGGTGGAGGCTTCTCAACACACACTGGCGAGGAAAAGGTCGGGACTGTGAGCTTGATGAATGGATGCAGTGAGGCTCAGGGTGTGTGCTTCTCCTGGTGATATAACATGGGGTAGCTAGACAAGAGCTGGGCTTGGAGATGGACAGATGGAGATTTCAGGCCCTGCTCCATTACTTACTGGCTGTGCAGCCTTGGACCCAATAGGATTTTCATAGATGAAGGTCATCGAAGATGAGCTGACGTTCAAAATCACAGAACACACAGGAGCAGGCCGCCATCAGTGAGCGGACGTGCACAAGCATGTGTGCTGACCACAGAGAGCCCCAGGGAGTCCAGAGAAGCCATCATGAGAAAGTGCTATGGAGTAAGTTTCTTAAAACAACAAGAAAAGGAGGAATAGCCCTAAATACAAAATATTATGAAAAACATGACTGATTAAAAAACATATTTTTTATGAGTGAAAACTATAGTCATGAAAATAGAAATTTAATGAGTGAGTTAAACAGCAGATTAAATGTAGCTCAAAAAACTATGTGAGCTACAAGATAAATGTGAGAAACTGGTCCCAGCACACAGCTCAGAGATTTAAAGGAATGGAAAAGGTGAAAGAAGCTAAGAAATGAAGAACAGAATGAAAGCCGGACAGTGGCTCATGACCGTAACCCCAGCACTCTGGGAGGCCGAGGCAGGTGGGTTGCTTGAGCTTTGGGGTTCCAAATCTGATCAAGAGCAAGAGTGAGACCGTATCTCTACTAAAAATAGAAAAACTACCTGAGCACCATGGTGGGTGCCTGTATGTCCAGCTACTTGGGAGGCTGAGGCAAGAAGATCACTTGAGCTCAGGAGTCTGAGGTTGCTATGAGCTATGACACCACGACACTCTACCCAGGGTAACACAGTGAGACTCTGTCTCAAAAAAACAAAAACAAAAAAGAAAGAAAGAAACAAAGAAACAAAGAAGAAGAAGTAAAAGAAAGAAAAGAAAAGAAAAATCAGTCATGCTTAGTAGTGGGCACCTGTGTCCCAGCTACCCAGGAGGCTGAGGAAGGAGCATCACTGGAGCCCAGGAGTTCGAGGTTGCTGTGAGCTATGCTGAGGCCACTGCACTCTAACCAGGGTAACAGAGCAAGAGGACAGAAGGGAGGGAAGGAGGAAAGGCAGGCCAAAAGAATCTCCAGATGAACTGTCACAACCACTGAAATTAAGATTGCTCTGCAAGGTTGCCACATGGAAAATCAGTATTCCAAACAAGTAGATTTCCTCCAAATCAGCAACACCACTGATGACATAAAGAAAGAATGTCTTCAGAATAAAAGCCACAGGGTGCCTAAACATAAGTCTGACCAACATGTAAAAGAGCTTAATGGAAAAGTTTATGAAGTATTTTTGAAAGTACAAAGAGTGTCCCCTTCTTGGGTAAGAAACTCAATTTTGCAAAGATGGCAGTTCTCTTCAAATTAATCTATAAAATTAACTCTATTACAAGAATTAAAAAAAAAATTCTCCCTGGCTTGGTGCCCATAGCTCACTGGTTAGGGCACAGGCCACATACACAGGGGCTGGCAGGTTTGAACCTGGCCCAGGCCTGCTAAACAAAAATGACAATAGCAACAACAGGGCGGCACCTGTGGCTCAGTGGGTACGGTGCCGGCCCCATATACCGAGGGTGATGGGTTCAAACCCGGCCCCAGCCAAACTGCAACCGAAAACAGCCGGGCATTGTGGCGGGCGCCTGTAGTCCCAGTTACTCGGGAGGCTGAGGCAAGAGAATCACCTAAGCCCAGGAGTTGGGGGTTACTGTGAGCTGTGTGACGCCATGGCACCCTACTGAGGGCTCTGAAGTGAGACTCTCTCCAAAAAAAAAAAAAAAGACAATAGCAACAACAACAAAAAAATAGCCAGCTGTTGTGGCGGGCACCTATAGTCACAGATACTTGGGAGGCTCAGGCAAGAGAATCTCTTATGCCCAAGAGTTTGAGGTTGCTGTGAGCTGTGATGCCATGGTACTCTACCAAGGTCGACATAGTGAGACTCTCTCTCAAAAAAGGAAAATTCTTTCCTACACTTGGCCAACTGATCCTAAAAGTTACATGAAAGGAAAAGCAACCAAGAATAGCTGAGTAACCACCTGTGTGCTTCCCCTCTGTCCTGGGCTCAGGTATGGATGGAGGAGTGTGCTCTGTCCTCTCTGCTGCAGACACACCTTCGGGATGACCACGAGAACACAGTCCGCGGAGTCTTGGACCGACTTGGTGGCCTCACTGAAGAGTGAGTACAGCTTTCTGTGGGATTGGGGTTTGTTCCTCACCCACATGATGCGCTGTGCTCCTTGGTGCCCCCATCTGTAGGGTGGGCACATTGACTGCTGGCTGCCTCCCTTTGAGTGTGACTTCACTTTTCTCAGCCTCAATTTCCTCATCTATAAAGTGGGGCTAATGATACATACTTCATAGAGTTGTCTTTCATAGGAACTTTTTGGAACAGCTTTTTTGAGGTATGATTTGTATGGATTTGTTTTGAGTAAAATTTGATGCTTTTTAAAGAATTTACAGAATTTTGCACCTATTGCCACAATCCAAATTTAGAACATTCCTATTGCCCCAGAATGGCCCTGTGGCCCATTTGCAATCACTCCCCAATTATTGATCAATTTTCATATTTATTTTTTATATTTTTATTATAACAACATAGTTTTTTCAGTTTGATGAAAAGTATTTCTTTTTCCTTATTTCATATGAGAAAAATTATTTTGTTCCTTAGTTGTCCAGCCTTTTGGGGAAGCCTAATTTGCATATGCCACCAAGAAGTAGGTGCAGGGCTGTGTTACTGGATAACTCAGGGGAAGCGTCAAGAGAAAAGGATAGAACACAAGTCGGGCCAAACCAGGGATACCTGCTCAGACCAGTTGGGAGAACTCAAAAACCTGTATCTTTAAATTCTAGTAGGAGTTTAGTCCATTTATGTTTAGTGAAAATCCGAATGCTTCTATATTTGGGTTTTCATATCAGTTTATGAAAATCTTTAGCTATTTTCTCTTCTGCCCAGTCTTTGCTTACTCTTTTTCCAGGGCTCCAGCTACACAATTTATTAGCCTTTTTTACCTTATTACATTTGTCTCTTACATGCTAGTCTGTATGTTTCATTATTTTGTTCTCTGTGGTTCAGTCTGGGTATTTTCTTTGAAGCTATGATCCAGTTCACTCTTCAGCTATGTTTTATCAGGTGCTAAACCTGTCTACTGAGTTGTTAATGCCTGATATTGTGTTTTCTGTTTCTAGAATTTTCATTTGATTCTTAATTTCTGGTTATCTTCTGATATCTGGTTATCTTATTGTTTAAGTTCTTGTGCCTATTAATTATAATTATTGTGAAGTTCACATCTAATTATCCCATTATCTGATATCAGGTAGGCATGTTTCTGTTGTCTCTTTTTCTCTTTATTTTTGGTTAATTCTTATCTGTTTACATGTCTGATTATTTTTATTGAATAATGAAACCTATGCATGAAAAATGATAGAGATAATCTACAACTTCTAACAGCCGTTTCAGGTAGTGGTAGACTAACTCCATTTGAGGATGTAGCTGCTATAGAAGTAGATCATTGTGAGAAATGGTAGAGTGCTGTGGCGTCACAGCTCACAGCAACCTCCAACTCTTGGGCTTAAGCAATTCTCTTGCTGCAGCCTCCCAGGTAGCTGGGACTACAGGCGCCCGCACAACACCCAGCCATTTTTTGGTTGCAGTTGTCATTGTTGTTTAGTTGCCCGGAGCTGGGTTGGAACCCGCCAGCCTTGGTGTACTGGCTGGCGCTGTAACCACTGTGCTATGGCCCTGAGCCAGAAAGCCTGGAGTGTGTGCCAGGCCTTTCCTTCCTGGCTGGTGGCTAGACCTCTGGTCAGCCTTTCAGACTCCCAGCAAACACATCAAAGTGTACAGCCAAATATTGGAGATTTATTACTTGAGTCACTGAGATAGGAACTCAGAAACTGCTCAAAATGTCAGCATGCATGTGATATGTTGATTTTGAGAGTTGTGTATGGAATTCCAAGTGTCAGTCCGTTGTGCACCGTGGGCAACTTATCCAAGCCTGGGGCAGCTGGGAGGATGGGATGGAGTTAAAGCCTAATGAGCTGGGCAAAGCCAAGAGCACTGACACTGGCCCCATTCTTGCCCCAAAGGTCCACACAGTGTGTCCTGCAGGGCCATAAACTGCTGCTGCGCTCGGCCCTCCGGAGGCTGGACCTCCGCGGTGGCGCCCTGGCCACCCTGGCGCAGATGAGGCTGTCGGGGAAGAAGCGGCTCCTGCAGGAGCTGCGAGAGCAGCGTGCGCTGGAGCAGGGCTCCTCCCAGTGCCTGGACGAGCACCAGTGGCAGCTGCTCAAAGCCCTGGTAAGGCCACAGTTCCCCTGCCCTTCTTCAGCCCTGCTGCCCTCAGGGTCCCCGCACCCAGAGACTCCCATGCGTCTTGTGGCTGGTGGTGTGTTCATCCGGGCACTCAGGCTGCCAGGCTCACCTGCCACAGACTGTGGATCAACAGAAACTATCAGCACACAGTCCAGGAGGCTGAACGCCTGGAGCACCGTGTCCCCGCTGGGTCCTTTTAGGCCCGTGTTGTCCTGTGGGCAGCTGTGCCTTATTGCCGCGTCCTTGCGGGGCCTTCTGGTCAGATCAGGTCCCACCCATGTGACCTCGTCTACCTTACTGGCCTTTTTAAAGTGATCACATACAGTGACCCACTGTGGTGATGGGCTTGGGCTTCAGCCTACAAATTTTGAGGGAGCACAATTTAGCCCATAACAGGTGGGGACAATGGCTGCCCACTGTAAGGGCACTCCTGTGCCAGAAGGTTCTAGTGCAGGTCATATTCAGTAATGAGAATTACACTAGAAAATCCATATAGAATCAGGAGTGGGTGCCAGTTGTCATTGGGATGTGGGAGAAAAAGCCTCTGTTATCACTTTGAAGTGTAAGAGCTTCAAAGAATCTGTAACCTGAGCTGGGACTCAAACCCAAGCAGGCTGTCTCTGGTTCTCCTGCACACAGCCGCTAAGTGGAGGGAGCAGCTGATGGTCTCTGACCTACTACTGAGGCGCCAGCCCACAGTATCTCTAGCTCTGCCCAGGAGAGGTCTGGGGAAGCAGGCAGGACTCACAGGCTCCCACTGCCCTTGCTTCTTTGTCTCTTATTATCAGAAGTAAAGGCTGCCCTCGGCCCCTGGGCCTTGCCCTGGCTTCTGTGAGTCCTAAGAGACTCACATCTGGCTTCAAAAGCACTCTGCTGTGTGACTTTCAGAAAGTTACTTAACTTCTCTGAGCCTTTATGTCCTCATCTGTCCTAGAGTTCAGGTCTCATGGTATTCTAGAAGGATGAGCAAGCCCCCCCATCTCATTAGGGTCCACACATGGTGTTGACGCACAGGGCTCAATAATTGCCCTTGTAGAAGAGGGAGAATCTTCAACACACACTAGGCTCATCCACTGTATGCTGGTTTTCACAAGCCCGAAGGCCACCTCCTTCTTCCCTTTCTCCATCCCTCTTCCTACCCTGTGGCCCTGGGCAGGGCCAACCGTCCATCCTGGTCCTGGCCTCAGCATTCCTGTGCAGGGCAGCAGCGTGGCCCCTCCCCCTCCCTTTCTCTCCAGGAGGCACGTGTCCTGGAGGAAGCTGGCCGGCTGGAGGATGAAGCACAGCAGACACGGCTGCTTCTCCAGCAGCAGCTTGTGGCAGAGGCCCAGGAGGTTGGGCAGCTGCTGCAGCAGCACACAGAGCATGCCATCGGGCAGGCACTGCTGGAGCACGCACGCAGTGCAGCCACCAGGAGCCGGGCCAAGGACAAGGATGACCTCAAGGTACATACTAACCCAAGGCCCAAGAAGAATTGGGGTGACATCTGAATTGCCAGGTCTGGTCCTTGCAGCACCCTCATGGTACGTCTGGCCCTGCAGAGGTTACTTGGTGCCTCTGGGCCTTGCTTGTCTCATCTGTAAGATGGGAACTGCTCCCTCACAGGATGCTAAGAACAGCTGCGACAGAACTCAGGCTTTCTGTCTGCTGTCAGGCCCTGTCCTGCTTCATTCTGAGCACTGGCTCGGCCCTTACAGCAGCCCTGAGAGGGACATGATGTCATCCAGAGCCACACAGCCAGGCAGAGGCAAAACTGGGTTTTAGGACCAAGCCCCTCTCCCAGGGGAGCCAAGCTCGTTCCTGAGACACCGAGGCTTTGCAGAGGCTTGCTCCTTGTGCTGACAGTAATGACCAAGAAGAGTGATAAAATGGTGATAGCAAGAAGTCCTGTTAGCATCACGCTCCAGTCTAGGTGCCTTTGCCCACCTTGTCCCATTGGACTCTTTCCATGGCCCTGGCATGGACCTCTGCTACAAGGTGGCACCTGCACTGCACCTGCTGGCTGCCTCCTGGCCACCTCCCCTCCCAAGTCATGAGGAACCGTGGGACACCCCCCTCGGGTGTTGCACTCTGCTGGGGTAAGAGTGTCCGTGGCTGGCAGACACCAGTGGGAGGGCAGACCTTCAACCAGCAGGCAGTCCTCACATTGTCAGGTGCCAGAGAAATTTCAGGCAACTTACAAGGTGTCCTTACATTTCTGTAAGTCTCTCTGCATCTCCACGTATCAAAGAGGTTGGACCCATGTTTCTGTGATACCCCCATCTTATACTAACAGACATTAGGGCTGTGTCTGGCTGGCTAAATGGGGAATATTGCCTATTTCCCTAAAATCCTCCAAGTCTTATCTAGTAATAACAACTGCTTGTTGCATGAAAAAGGAATAAAAATATAAGGGTGTCATATTTTGTACTCAGCTTCCCAGAAGGACTTTGAGTTGAGATTAGAAAATAAAGATCCTCCCCCTACTTCTCACCTGCCAGAAAGAACTCTTGCTTACTTTCTAGAAGAATGGTTCCACTGCTATTCCCAGAGCACCAGTAGGTCCTGGGTAGGTCCTGGGATGGAGAGTGAGCTGATTGAGCAGCGTTCTCACCCTCATGGAGCTTACGGTCTGCTGGGGAGACTGGGGAAGACAGGGCCATGGTCGTCCTGGAGCAGGACGCTGAAGGGGAGCAGAGCAGCAGGTGGTGCCGATGTGCACAAGATGCCAGCCAGACAAAACCACTGAGGAAGAGAGCAGGGTAGCCAGGAAGGGGGGCTGGAGATGGGAGGAGGGGACGCTGCAGAGAGATGTGGACACACACCACTCCTCTGGGCAGGCAGGTGGATGTAGCCAGGACAGCGATGCAGGTGGGTTTGCCAACCTGAGAGGGAAGGGGACAGGAGTTCCTGCTGGGAAGTACAAGAGCAGAGCCCAGGGCTCCTGGAGAGGTGAAGTCAGAACCCCCTTTGTGGATATGGAGGACAGGCAGAGGAAGAGGAGAGAATCAGCTATAGTCAGGGGTGGGCTTGGAGTGAGAAGGCCAACTCAGACCTGATCTGTGCCATCTGCCCACCTTTATAGCCTGGACTCCAGACCTGGATGTCCAGGCACATTTCTCAAAGAAAGTACTATGAGATAAGAAGACAGCACAGCCCTGAATAATTACTCCATAATAGGTGGAGGCCAGGAGCCATGGCTTGTGCCTGTAGTCCCAGCTACTCAGGAGGTCAAGACAGGAGGGTTCCTTGAACACTAGGAGTTTAAGTCCAGCCTGGGCAGTATAGCAAGACCCCATGTCTATAAAAATAACAGTAATAATAAATGGGTATTTTCTTTTTCTTGCCCAAAGCCTGGCACCATCCAATAAATATTTATTGAAATGGGGATGCTTATGTCTAACTTTTTTGAGTTTTGCCCATAATCTTAAGAAGAAAAGAATGGTAACTATTAGAGCACAACCAACACATCCACCATAATGACGTGTCTCGGCATGCCTTCTCTTTCTGCTTCGGTCCGAAGGTGTGTCATTTAGGAATGCTGAAAGGTGCAAGTAACAGAAAGCCCTACTAAAATAGCTTGAATAAATAGAAGGTACTTATCCTATGAAATAAGAAATATGGAGGTGGGTGGTCCAGGCGGGCAGGTGGCTCAACGCGCCCAAGGACTAGGCCCTTTCTTTCCAATCCTCCTTCCTTGTTGTTAGTATTAGTTTATTTTTGCTGCGTAGTTTCAAAATGGCCACTGCCTCCCCATATACCAGGTCTGCATTCCAGGTAGGAAGAGGGAAGTGGCTTCACACTAACGATCAGAAAGGGAAGGCCTCTCAAACAGACTTTCCCTGCCATTATATCTCATTGGCCAGAACTAGGTGACATAGGCAGGTGCCATCCCGACCTAGGAAAATAGAAGATTATCACAACTAGTTTAAACAAACCGCGCACTCTGCTCCCTGACAAATCCAAGTCAGGGAGTGGGTGGAAGATACCAGCCAGGGCAAGGGGGGCAGGACAGGAATGTCCAGTGTCTGCCGCATATGTCTCCTCTGCTGTCACTGTCCTTCCCCTGCTACCCTCTCCCCCCACAGAGGATGCTGATGGAGGCGGCAGTGGAGAGCGTCTATGTGACCAGCACTGGTGTCAGCCCCCTCGTGCAGGTGTATTACCAGCAGATCGGGAAGATTGCTCAGGCCCACGAGGAGAGGAGACTGCAGCTCCTGAAGACCCTACAGGGTACGTACCCTGCTCAGGAGGTCCCCAAAGGGACAGCCCAGATGTGCTTTACTTTGGGGCAGAATGTCAACTGCTCCAAATTTTATTTTGTGGGATTTAATTTTTTTAATGCTCTTATGTATTTATTCATTCCCTGCTTTCTCCCAAAAGACTTTTTAAAGGGCACTTAGAGAAACATACACATAAGGAAACGTAGAGTGCAATAGGACTTTCTGTGAGAAGGTAAGTCAGGTCAGGGACGGAGAGAGGCAGACGCAGGGTGGGTTGTTAGCCAGGACACATGCCTGCACAGCCTACTTAGATGGGGAATTACTTTGTCTCCAAGTTTTCTGGTAGCCGAGAAGATGGAGACTACTTAGTTAAAGCCACTGCAGTGACTATGAGTAAGAGCAGGCCAGTGGTCCTGAGATATTCTGAGACCTCAAGAGTTTTCTCCCATGGGCTTTTAGAAAAGCCACCCAGGCATGATGGAAAGGACAAACCCCCAATTCCAGTAATAATATAAAAATTATAATATTTAAAAGCCAGTTTCTTGAAGGCTACTTCTTATAGCATCCTCGCCTACATCCCAAGCTTCACGTTCTCCGAAGTTTTACCTGGATTGTCCCAGGACTAAAGTTGGAATTGATCCCTGGAAGGACAGGGGCCATGGGGCCAGGACAGTCTTCCCTGAGTGCTGTTCCCTCTGCTGGACTCAGCTGCAACCTTTGTCTTCCCTGTCCTGGGGATTAGAGGCCTAGATTCAAATAGAATCTGGACATGTGCCCAGAAATGTGCCAGATGACTACAGATTCTCCATGGTCTTCTGAAGGAAAGTCGGGCTTGTTTATCAGCTGACAGACATGATTGCTTGCCAATATAGAATGTTCTAGAACCATGTCACTTCCCCCCACTAGGCCTCCATGTCCCCAAATGTGGGATTAGGGTTGGACCCACCCTTCCACATATACCAGCCCTTATTTCCTGCTTCCTTAACACTCAAGCTCTAAGCAGGGATTTCACAGTAAATGCGCAGAAATGGCGGACCTTAACTTCCCCACATGAATTCTTTTTCTTCTTTCACTAAGCAATTCTATTTAAGAGCCATAGACTGTTCTGCTCCTGGGGATCAGCCAGACAAATCTCTCTATGAATGCCAGCAGTGACCGTTGTCATCGTGTAGCTACTGAGTGTGATGCTAACAGAGGCCATCGTGCAT